AGTTTGTAGTAGTAATGGAATGAAGCACATGTCTGAATTTAGCAGAGAGACTCCCTGATAATGACTTCCTTTAGGCACCATTGAATTCTCTCATTTAATCAATACTTTCATTATTTTATGTAGGGCTTGGTAAAGCCCCCTGTTCTTGGTGTGCTTGTGTATCTCCAGGCTTCTTGTTTTAAAACATTAGTTCCTGTCAAAACTATTTACATAATTTTAAAATATTGTAAAGCTCCATGTTTATTTCCTGTTAGCATACTGTCTTGACAATGTTATGGAATATCATTATTTAGATCTGAAATCTTGACAAATGACCACAACAACTCTATTGATTCATTCCATCCCATTATAGGAACAGACGTGATTGGTAGCAGTGATGCTGAGCTTGTAAACCGTTCTCTCTTGAGCACATGTGAGCCCTGGTTTTGCCTCTGTTTCAGCACCTGGCGTCGGATATGATGCAGTTCCGTATAACTGCCCGAGGCCACAGCAAAGCGAAAGTCATGGAGGTATCCAGGGACATCTTCCTCAATATTCCTTGCTCACACCCACTGAGATGTCATGGAAGGAGATTCACAGAGACTGTGGAATCACCACTGGTGAAATGTAAGAAATTTTTAAGAGGGAACCTGTGCTTTTTAGTTTCTCTGACTTAGCAAGAAAGTTTTCACCTAAGAAACGATGACCCTCCCTTTTCTCCTTGAAATGTTCCTTATGTTTCTATGGAGTGAGTTTAACTAGTTCACAGACAGTTCTGTTTCCCTCCTGAAGTAACAGATGGAGATATTTCCTTCTTGTGTAAGTTTGTAGCGAGTCTCTCTGTGACAGGTCCTCCTACCTCTTATCTAGGCATACATCTTTTAAAAAACAAAGGCGTCAGAGTTCTGCAAACTCAACCCCACCTTCTGTTACAAATCATCTTATACTTAGAGGAATTTGAAACCTATTTTTCAGTTCAGTTCTTCTGTCCTTATGTGAAGGTGACTTCAGGAGTGAGGTCTGTGTGCTGTAGAGAAACAGCTGATTGGCATTTTGGTCCACAAGCATCCTAATGGCATTTTTAATTGAAAAGTCTACAGAGGCACTGATCCATATTTTAGGATGAGCGGAAAAGGAAGCCATGTCTGCCTGGGTTGGTGTCCCTGCTTTGAAGAAGAACCTGCAAACATTATTTTACAGGCCAGGGAACCAGTTTGTTGCGCTGCCAACTTCTCTCATGTTTTTCATCCTCGTAACAGCTTCAGAGTAAGTCCTATGTTCATCTGATAGATGAATGCATTTAGCTTTGGGTTTTTTTTTAATTGGTAAAACATTTTTATTGTTTTAATTAATCTTTTTAGGAGGAGGGGTAATTAGGTTTATTCATCTGTTTGTTGGATGGAGGTGCTGGGGATTGAACCCAGCACCTTGTGCATGCTAGGCGTGCGCTCTACCGCTGAGTTAGACCCTCCGTCTCAAGATGAATACATTTTTGTTCAGGAGATGACTTAGAGTGAAGCAGAAGCTAAGAGAGGATTAGAATTTGAGTCTGTCTGTCTATGAAGTCCGGGCTGTTGCTTCTGTCTTCTCTTTTATTTTCTGTCAGAGAATAAATATGGTTAACTAGGCAACTCACGTCACTGGACAGTTTGCAGGGGTTTGCAGACAAACCAGTGAACCCTCTCTGTTTGTCCAGGAAGGCTAGAGAGGACGGAGTTAAACAGATAAAAATAGCAGAGTCATTTGAGAAATCCAGATTTAAAAGAGGAGTAAACGCACCAGGCAAGATGATGTTTGATTACGGCACATAATGGATTCCTGAAACGCTTAAATGTAATTAAAGATATAAAAAGGAGACAGGGAAACATAAAACGTCACAAATATGCAGTTCTGTAATTAGTTGCTTTTTTGAGACATAGCACTAGTTTCAGACTCTTGTCCATTAAAAAAAGAAAAAAAAAATCAAAAGAGGAGAGGCAGCTTTGGAAGACAAAGATGAAGTGAACGTGGAGCCGTAGGCAGGTGGTGGTGACTGCGGAGCCTGGGGAGAGGGGCGGAGGGCAGAGAAGTGCCGGGGGGGGGGGCGCCTTGCAGAAGACCCTCTGAATGACAGAAGTGTTGCCAGGAGCGCTGGGTAAACATCACAATTTTACTGTCATTTTAATAAAACTGAATACAGTTCAACTGCAGACGCTGTCCTGGAGATGCAGTATATTTAACTCTATTTTGCAGCGAGCAGTGACTCCAGAACTTATGTGTGGCAGTACCGGCAAGAAAGCAACGTATCTCTTGCTGTGCCTGTGCTGGTAATGTGCTCATCGGACGGGACAAACGCGCCTGCGGTTCACTGAGAGTCCAGTTATACTGGGTTCAAGATGCCGACGCAGCAGGGCGCCTGGAACCTTCCAAGACTTTCTCCCGCTTTCAGAAGTCACACATAGAGTCACAGAAGCATTTCTGAAAACGAGTGCTTTGGCGTTGGTCAGTCTCATGATGCGGGTGGTCACCACTGTGAGGTTTTGAAAGTCACACCCCTTCCTCAAGGAGGCATTTCATGGAAAGACACTGGATCATTCTATTCGGTAAGGGAGAAAAAAATCTTAAAGGTACGCTCCTTTTGAGGGAAAAGAATGTAATTTTTAATTTAAAGACACTGTTGGGGGGGGGAGGGTACAGCTCAGTGGTAAAGCGCGTGCTTAGCGTGCACGAGGCCCTGGGTTCAATCCCCAGTCTCTCCTCTAAAAATAAATACCTCCCCTCGCAAAATAAGGAAAGAGGACACTATCAGAATCCCAAAGCAGTGACAGCGTTGTCTGTCAGCGTAGTGTTGGGGACATGACACTGTTTCTTATAATTCTGCTCTTGGGGAGATTTCTTTTCATTTTCTTTCTAAATCCTTTGGAAATCTTCCTAAACTCACTTCCCAGAAAATAGAAGTCCCCTGAGAACAGGGACCCAGTCCAACCTGCTTAGCGTACTCAGAGCTTATCGGCTTTAATAAATAGTTGTTGGATCAATGAATAGAAATATCATCAAAATAAATCTGCTTATGCTTTATTTGAGTGGATAAAAGATGATGTGATTTCATCGATTATGTGTTTAAACCTACGTGAGTTACTAAGCTTTGTATCATACGGAATTTTCTTGACCTTGAAGTAGTGCATGTCACAAAACATAGAAACTTTTCACTTTTGTCCGGTCGTCTCTCTCCTATCTGGATTAAAAATTCAACAAGTAACCACTGTGTGCAAGAGAAACACGTGAGAAGCCTGTGAGATATCCTGATTGCTTGGTAATTTATAAACTGGGGAAAACGCTACAGCATCAAGACAGATTGTCGATTGAAAAGGAAAAGGCACTGCGCATATCTAAACTGCTTGTTGGGCTCTGCTTGCTTTTCAGTGGCATGTGCTCGGGAGTGAAGTGACGTGTTCCCCCTTGCGGGAGGAAATCGACGGTGAGCCGGCTCCGGGCTCCGGGCTCCGAGAGGACATGGAGTGAGGAGAGCAGCTGCGGGGCGGGCTGCCCGGGGCCGCCGGGGCGTCCAGCGTGGAGGCAAGGCCGGGGCGCTGCGGTCGCTGAAGCCGGGACCCCGGGCGCGGGGGGGCCAGGGTGCTGACGTCCGGGGCCGGAAGCAGACGTCCCGGCGGCGCCTGGAAGCCAGCGTGTTTCTGCCCGAGACCGTGGCGTCAGGGCTGGAGAGAGCAGGCAGCTCGCGGAAGCCTCAGGCGGCGGGCAGCCGGTTGGGGGTTCCGGCAGCACAGAAAGCCGCGGCGCTGGGGAGCCGGGTAGGAATTCGGCCTCCCGGGGTGCTGGCGCTTACCCCTGCTGGCGGACTGGGGGCTCGGGGCGGCGAGGGGCTGCGGAGAGCCGTCGTGGGGGCCGGCGGGCCGTAAAGAACTTACCAAGCCCAAGGATGAAAGTACGAAGGGGCTTACTGGGTGGCGCTGCCAGAGACGACAGCAGGCCACACGGAGGGGTGCCCGCGGGAGCCCCGAGGGCGGGCTGCTGAGGCCCGTGAGGAGGAGAGTTACAGCAGGGCCCGCGGGGCCGCAGGGCGCGTGATGCGCTTGTGCGCAAGGGCCTGACCGGCTGACGTTGAGACGGTGGGGAAGGGAGGGGTCGTGAGGGGGTGGGGCTGCGCCCGGTGCTGGGGGCCGGGCCTCCCAGCCTTGCGCGCTTGGTCGTTACCAGGGTGGTCCGCTCACCTCAGGCAGCTATGTGTCACCAAGGGAATGCTCTTTGTTACCTGTGACGTGCAGCACCTGGGCGCCGCAGGGGCCTTGGAGCAGGGCTCTGGCGGACGTCTGTGGGCCTCACAGTAGTGGATTCTCCGGGGTCTAGCTGGGGTAGATGCTTGCTTTCCCTGGACTCCACCAGGTGCCCAGGAGGCGTGCTCTGGGCTCCCTCCCTTCCGTCTCACTGTGGGGTCAGAGACAACACGCACTGTCTGCTGCTGTTGGGGGACCAAAGGGTAAGCTGGTCCTGTTGTGTGGGAGGAGGGAGAGACGGAGGGACGGAAGACTATGATGGCAGGACAGAGCACACCTTGTATGAAAGTCTTACTTCGTTCATGGACTTCATGCTCGAGTTAAAAGTGCAGATTACCCAGCTGCAAAACCAAAGTGTGTGCAAAGTCATTTCCTGTAATTGTTTTCTGGATTCCACAGCGTTGCGTGCCTGAAGAGCCCTCCCCGGAGTTTTCCAGACAGGATTCCCCGGAACAGAAGCGTGCCTCACCTGCGAGCTGCCAGGGCTCTGTTCCCGGAGCAGACGAAACGTGATGCACTCACGGAACGCCGTTTAGTAAGACTTACTTCCAGTCGGAGCGCAGTGGGGCCTTTCTACAAACGTCAGTTGCTAGCAGCCGTTTGGGCTGTGACCGTGTTCAGATGCACTCTGTGGAAAGCAGCTCTCCTGAGAGCACCCCCTCAGCACGGGGCTTCCTGCCGCCGTACCTCACTGCTGAACAGCCCAGCGGGGACCTTCCTCTGGCTCTGTGTGCTCAGTTCTCACCCTTTCATTTTTCCTCCCTTAAATCCTGCTTCCTCCTCCCAGGGCTTTCCTGAAACGGCTCCCTGGGGTCACAGATGAGTTCCAGCCCTCTTGGACCTCTTCGGTCTCTGTTTGGCCTCTCTGAGGAGCTGGCTATCGCTCCGTTCCCTGCACACTGGGATCACACAAGCTGAAGTGACTTTCCTCCTCTTTTGTTATGTCGATGGTACCCCTGATCTCCAGGATCCTTGAGCCCCGGCTCTGTGACTCTGCCCCAGCAGCTGCAGGTTCCTGACAGCTCCCACCAGGAGCTACCTGGCTGCCTTCCCTCCCAGTTTCCCGCTGGGCCTTAATGGTTTCTCCTGAGGACACTTCACATCCCGTGAATGTGAACCTGTCCCTGGGAGAAGCTGGTACGCCCCGTCTCCTGGTCGTCCATCTCTGCACCCCCTACAGCATCTTTCCGTCTTGTCCTCTCCTCCTCCTCCTCACTCCCATAGTTCTATCCCTCCAAGGCAGCACATCCCTGTTGAGTCCTCAGAGTCCTCAAACCTATCCTTCCTTGCAGAGCTCCCAGCTGGGTTAGTTTCAAAGCGGATGCCAACCATCTCCCACAAGTGACCTTGTACAAAAGCAAATCCATCTTGTCTAGACCCATTTCCCAAGGGCGTATTTTTGTTGTTCTTGTTAATCATGCCCTTCCTCTGCTCTAGCCAAAAGCAAAGCCTTCTTTGCATGCTGTGGTTTCAGTAGAACTAGGCTGGTTTAGTTCTGATTTTCACCGGTAGGAGGCCCCACTTTAAAGATGGAAGCATCTCTTATGAGATCTTGGGCGCCCTGTCCCCAGGGCAGGGCAGGGGCTACACTCAGATGCAAACCCACATTTGTGGTATTAGCCACTCATGTCTGGGCCAAAACAGCTAGAAGGGTCCAATACTCACCTGATTTCTCTGGGTTTAGGCTTTTCCCCAAAATGACTCGTCTCGCAGTTCCACAGGGTCGTTGCAGCTCTTTGACGCTCTGAAGAAGTCTTTAAAGGTAACTTTATCCAGGCTTTTGTAACATTCTTTTTGTTCAGGGTGGGTTGGTTTGAATGACCCAAGTGGCCTTACGAGAAAAGTCGTTCAGTGATTTCTCTCCGTTCTCCACCGTGACTTTACTTCAGAGCATCTAACCCTGTCACACCCTCACTCATCTCTAAAACTGCTTCCTCACGTCTTTTCTCATTCCCACTCCATGATTTCAGATTTACCTTCCTGAAATGTGACAGTGACGCCCCCCTCCCTCCACGCTCTGGAATCGGCGTCTCTGCGCTTCCCAGGGAGACACCACACACTCCTGAGGCCGGCCAGGCCGGGGCAGGTTGGCTTCCAGGACACGCCCTAGTCTTATCTCCCCTGGTCACCACCCTGCACGTAGAAGATGCTTCAGAGAAACAGATGACACGTTAGCATGACCTCCTTCCAGATACCCCTTACATCCTGTTCCTCCTTCCTGGAGATGTCCTCTCCGGTTCGTAGTCTTCCCTACTTCTTCCCCAGCCAGTGCGTGTTAGTCCTTCCTTAATTTCAAGGTTTCCTTTTTTAGAAACCCACTCTAGAACATATGAATTAATGCATGCCTTTTTAGCAATGAGGAGAATTTTAAGGCAGTTGGGTGTCACTCTTACCAGGGCTAATGGGGAATTAACCTAATTAACAAGCAAGCAGACCAGGTGCTTACAAATTGGAAGGAGGGGCGTAAGGGGTAAGACAAGCCGAAATAGAAGTAGGCTTTCAGAACGGACCTTGTGCAAGGTGTCAGATGCTGAGGGAGAGCAAATCCAGGTTTTAGAACTGCCTTCCCACACCTGTGATGAAGGAGAACGCCCAGACGCAAATAAGGACTGAGAATGTATTTCAGCACAAAATTAGCATGGGCAGAACTATCCTCCAAGTCAGAACTGCAGGCTGAATTGGTAAAGGAGAGTCTGCACTTGGTTGTACATTGTAAGCATCCACACGAGTCTTCTGGGACAGTGGTGGGGACTAGCAGAAAATGCTTAACAAACTCAGTTCTTAAAAGTCAGACTAGCATCACCCTGATACCAAAAGCAGACAAAGCTATCACACGTATACTAAAAGGCCAAAATACAGAATTCCTCAACAAAATACTAGTGAATTGAATCCCACAGTACATTAAAAGGATCATACGTTGTGATCAAAGATTTTTCAATATCTGCAACACCACATTAACAAACTGAAGAATAAAAACCATACGATCATCAGAATAGATGGTGAAAAGGCTTTTGATAAAATTCAACATCCGTTTATGATAGAAACTGTCCAGAAAGTGGGCACAGAGGGAACATACCTCAACATAACAAAGGCCACATGAAAGCATTCCCTCTAAGATCAGGAGCAAGACCAGGATGCCCACCGTCTCCACTGTTGTTTAACATAGTTGCGGAAATCCTAACCCCAGCAATCAGAGAAGAAAAGGAATGCAAATGGGAAAAGAAGATATAAACCTGTCACTGCAGATGGTGACATAACGCTATACGTGGAAAACCCTAAAGACGCCACCAGACAACGACTGGAGCTCATCAGCGAACCTGGTAAAGGTGCAGAATACAAAGGTACCACACAAACCTATTCCATTTCTCTGCACTAACAATGAACTAGCAGAAAGAGAAATTAAGGAAACAATCCCACTTACCATCACATCAAAAAGAATAAAATACCTAGGAATAAACCTACCTAAGGTGGCAAGAGAGCTGTGCTCTGAAAACTATAAAAAATTGAAAGAGGACACAAATGGAAAGAATACTGTGTTCTTGGGTTGGAAGAATCAATACTCTTAAAATGACCATACTAACCAAGGCAGCATAGAGAGTCAGTGCAATCGCTATCATATTACCTATGGCAGTCTTCACAGAACTGGAACAGTATATTTTAAAATTTGTATGGATACACAGAAGACTCCAAGTAACCAAAACACTCTTGCGAAAGAAGAATGGAGCTGGAGGAATCACTCTCCCTGACTTCACACTACATTACAAAGATAAAGTCATCAAAACAGCATGGTACTGACAAAAAAGCAGACACACAGATCAATGGAACAGGATAAAAAGTCCAGAAATAAACCCACACACTTATGGTCAATCTGTGACAAAGAAGGCAGGAATATACAATGGAGAAAACAGTTTCTTCTTGGTGCTGGAAAAACTGGACAGCTGCATGTAAATAAATAAAATGAGAACACAGTCTCTAGCATCATATATAAAAATAAACTCAAAATGGATTGAAGACCTAAATGGAAGAGCAGATACTATAAAACTAGAGGAAATCATAGGCAGAACACTCTTTGACATAAATCGCAGCAATATTTTTTTAGATCAGTCTCCTAAAGTCACGCAAATAAAAGCAAAAATAAACAAACGAGACCTAATTGAACTTACGCACAGCAAAAAGCTTTTGCACAGCAAAGGAAACTATAAACAGAACAAAAAGAGCCTACAGACTGGGAGAAAATGTTTGCAAATAGTGTGACCAAAAGGGATTAATTTCCAAAACATATGAACAGCTCTTACAGGTCAGTATCAAAACAAAACCCCAATTAAAAAATGGGCAGAAGACCTAAATAGACATTTCTCCATAGAAGACACACAGGTGACCAACAGGAATAGGAGAAGATGCTCAACATCACTAATTAAGGGGGAAATGCAAATCAGAAGCACAATGAGGTATCACTCCATACCAGTCAGAATGGCTGTCAGTAAAAACTCTACAAATAATAAATGCTGGAGAAGGTGTGGAGAAAAGGGAGCCCTCCTACACGGTTGGTGGGAATGTAACATTGGTGCAGCCACTATGGAAAACAGTATGGAGGGTCCATAAAAAACGAAAAATAGACTTACCATACGATCCAGCAATCCCACTCCTGGGCATATATCCAGAGAAAACTGTAATTTGAAAAGATACATGCACCACAGTGTTCATAGCAGCACTATTTACAGTCGCCAAGAGATGGAAGCAATTTAAATGTTCATCACCAGATGACTGGATAAAGGAGATGTGGTGTGTATATGTGTGTGTGTCTACAAACATAAAAAAGAATGAAATAATGCCATTTGTAGCAACATGGATGGACCTAGAGATTGTCACACTAAGTGTTACATAAATCAGTCATAGGTAAGAATACATATATGTGGCATCTAAAAAATGATACAAATGAACTTATTTACAAAATAGAAATAGACTCTCAGACATTGGAAATAAATGTATGGTTACCAATGAGGAAAGGGTTGAGGGGGTAAATTAGCATTTGGGGATTAACATATACACACCTAGATATAAAACAGATAAATGACAAGGATCTTCTGTGTTGCACAGAGAACTATAGCCAATATCTTGTAATACCTCTGATTGAAAAGAATCTTAAGAATCTGAATCAATTTTCTGTACACCTGAAGCCAGCACATTGTAAGTCAAATATACTTCAATTAGAAGAAAGGAAACCCAGCTGAGCCCTGTCAACCCAAGAACCATGAAAAATACAATTTTTTTTAAGTCCAGAAAAAGTATTCTTTACGATCTCCAATTTAGAAGTACATCTCAAGTTAGAAATATTAATTCAAGTATCGCACCATGCTTAAGAGTTTCTGGTTACAGTTACACAATCTGAATTAATGTAGAAACCTCCCTCTAGTTAGACACCCTTTGGGTGTGAGCAGAGGAAATCAGCACAGTAAAATCTCCTAAAAAAGATTAATTGTGGAGAAGCACAGCAACTATGTGGCTCAAGTATTTTGAGAACCTAGGATATTAGACTCTGTCTCTGCTCTCGTAATGACCAGCTCAGACAAAAGGCATGTGAATATCTCAGTCAAGTCTGCATCTCCAAACTGTGGGGTGTCTTATGTATCTGAAGATAAATTAGACTTGAAGAATCTTCTCATCTCCCAATGACCCCCACTCTCATTAGAGTCAACCAAGCAAGTTCCAAACATAGATGCCAAAGCTGGGCCTGTGAAAAAAATCAGTCTTCGTGACATCTTTCGTGCAGAGAAGAGAACCAGAAGGAGGTGGGCCTCCTGTGCCTGGATGTGGAAGAGGTGCTGAGAGAAAGTCTGCTTGAAGGCAGAGTAAGCTTCTGAGAGAGAAGGAACAAGAACTCTGGACACAGCCACGCCAGAGGCCCTCTACCTGGAGATCACCGTTGAGAGAACTTCTCTATCAGACAGATGAGAATGAAGGTGAGGTTGTGCAAGTCTTTTCCCAATACCCGCCCCTTTCCAATCATGGGGCAGAGGTTTTCCTCTCGATGGAAATACGAAAAGGAATGACACACAGCCACACCCCCTCCACTACCACCCTCTCCACCACCACCAAGAAGCGAAGAAACACATTCATACAGAATTAAAATAGAACACAGAGCTTAGGGCCTGAGTTTCTGAATCTAGACAAAATGGATCCTTTGCATGATAAAACCCACCCACCTGAAGATTAATGTGTTCTCTGTATTAAAACAAGGTGCACTTCCTCTTGGTTTCTCTCTGCCTACCTCATCACCCAAGTCTGAAGACTGACACTGTCTATTGTTAGTGAAGGTGGCGAGAACCGTGTTGTCAAACTGCTGAGGGAGTGTGTCTTGTGACCACCTTTTCTGAAGGGCCATTTGCCTAGAACCTTGGGGAGTTTTAATCTGGTTTTCCCGTTGAGCTGGCATTTCAACCTGTAGTGGTTTCTCCTACAGAAATACCTGCTGTGGACAAAGAGATGCACAGAGATCACAGAGAAGCTAAGGGACCCCGAACAGGCAGCGATCTGCTGAGTGTTCATGTGTTCAGACAAGGGCAACTTAAAAGAGTAAGTTAATTCAAAAACATGATTGCTTTGATATGCTATGAATGGGAAAAAAATAAAAGTTACAGAGGAATATCTATTCTGTACAAAGTATGAACCAAATCTATTGTTGTGCTAAAGAACAAGAGGTACTTTTGTGTCTCTATATACACGGAGAGAAACAAGCACCAAACATAATGAGTATTCCATATATATAGGAGATGCTGTGAAGACACTTTTCCTTTTGTTTTTTAATGTATATACAGATTTTTTTTCCAATGTGCCTATACCATTTTGAATGAAAACACCACGTAATTTTTAAGAAAGATCGGCTGCCACATTTGAAGTTTCTAAAAACACACAGACTGCATGTAGTAGGAGGCAGGTGCTCATTGAGTATTTGTAGCTTGACAGCCTCAGAGTTTTTCCTGTATCTTTTGTTTTTTTTTTTTCAGTAAGTCTTCTGACTTGTGCAGAGGAAGTAAACCACCTGAAACTAACATGTCACACATTGTCAGGCTCAGAAACCTCTTTCTTCAAAATAACCCCAAGGGGAAAATACATCAGCCCAAATAGTCACAGTTTGCAAATGCTTTGCATGTAGAAGGGAAATGTAAAAATAAGTGACATTTTCTTACTACAAAATTCTGAAACATAATAGTATTTTTGTAAATATTGTTGCAGATTATCTGGTGTCATGAAAGGTGATAAAATCCAGAAAAACCCGCAGAATGCGAACAGAGCTTTAAATAAGAGCGTTCATCAAAGGTATGAAGACACGTCGTTTAGACGCCATCGCAGTGAAGACACTAGTGAGTACAAAGCTAAGGGTAACTAACGTGTTGATAACTATGTACAAGAATTCAGTACCTTGCATAATTCCCGCTTTCTAGCCTTCTATTTTCATCCATTTTCTACATTTTCATAAGCCATAAATAAAAGTTTGTTTCTTCCCCTTTTTCATGCCTGTTCTCCCATAAACAACCTTCTACTGACAGTCGTGGGTTATTCAGGAAGAACAAGATGATGGGAAGTAAAATGAGTCGGTAAGGGGCATTTTTCTTTATTCTAAACATTCCACCTGTCTAACTGTATTTATGGCATGTCAAACACCTGTTTTTATTGCCAAGGGACCAATCTGGTTCTAAAGTCGCAGGCAGTGATGGTCTGGGAGGGTGTTCAGATACAGTTTCTCGAGCAAGGCAGATGGCAATCAAAAGTAACTTCACAATTTTACTTTTTACCACAACCACATAAACCTGAAGAGACGCATGGGGGCAGCATGGCCACGACTTCACAGTAAACGGTGCGCAGCCCGCGTTCGGCGTGTGCGTGAGGGACGGCCTCGGTGAGCGTGCACCAGCGGAAGGGACGGAATGCGGAGATCAATAATCCCCACGTCACGGTGGTCAGTCAGAAATCAACCCCGAGCGCTCCGCGGTGGGCGAGCAACAGCAAAAGGCGTCTCTGAGAGCCCCGCGGACTGCACTTCCCCAGAAAAGCAGTCCCTTTCAGGCCCAGCAGGGGCAGATGTGGCTCTTTCCAGTCAGTGTGAGGAGGTGGTACTCAGGGAGGCATGTAATGGACTGTACTGAGAAGATGAGATTCCAGACCAACCGACGCTTGGGACAAAAGGTAGAGTTACTGAAAAATAAAAACCAACTGTCGGAGGCAGTGGTTTGGACAGTTCCTTCCATAAAGGACAATAGTTAACTGTGAAAGCAGGACCCCTCTCGTGTTGAGTCATCAGCTCAAGGACAGTCACCTTGGAAGGCGCCAAGACTTCTCATGACCTAGGCCAGTAATAAACTGATTGATAAAACCAAATCCTTCAACCGTGGGCAGCAGGAATGCTCTTCATCTTTAGGGTGTGCAGGATTATCAAATCATCGGACATGGGTACAGGGGGTAAAGTTGATGAAAACAAGAGAACCCTAAAAATGAGTAAGAGAGTAAGAATATAGACAAGAAAAAAACCCATTAAATTTATTAGCACTTCTGATGTGATTAGCCCAAGTGAACCAATCCAGTTTTCAACAAATTTAATACTATGTGTGTATTGTCTGCTTTTTAATAGTGCTTAATTAAAGCATTTAAGAAAATCAAATGTATCAGACTGGTTTGAATTAAATAATTAGAAAAAAATTCATTAGGTGTGCAATGAATGTTTTAAGGCCTGTGGAAATCTGTTTAATGAATAAGCTTTTGCTTTATTGGTTATATAAATAAAATACGGATCTTTAGAAGAATGCTATATAAGTAAATTAGATATCAAAGTACAAACAGTGGTGTTCTTCATGCACATAAGTGCTTTGGATATTAAGGAATCTATCAACATTAAAAAGGACAGATGCATCAAATCTCACATTGTTTATAGCTAGTTGAGACGGGTAAGACTGAAATCAGACTCCAGACGTACATGTCTGTAGAGGAGAGAGAAACCTAAGGACACAGTGTGCTCTGGAATATGATAAAGCTCCTGTAACTACGGAGTATGTTATCACTAAGAATATGCGATCCAGAAATATTTAAATTAGCAGGAAACAAACAAGATCACCCCATGGAAATATGTGTTAGTTACTAACAGAACTGATCTTTAACAGAGATGCTTACCACTAAACGGAAAGTAGGTGGTATCGTTCAGCAGTGAAAAAGTTAAAAGCCAAAGGATAGCCTGGGGCCAAGGCGGTGGAGTAGAAGGATGCTGGTAGCTCACCCTCTCCCACAAATACACCAGAACGCACATCCACCGACCCACCCAGCCAGCCAGAGCACCTGCTGAACTCCAACAGAACATCACCCTCTTCAAAAGACAAAGACACCATGAATCTGGTAGGAGAAAAGGAAAAAACAAAGTAGAAAAAGCAAAACTGTGGGGCGGGTCCTGCGGGGAGGGAGCGGCAAAGGAAGACTAGCGCTCGTTTGCTGAATCTCCCCCTCTCCAACGGGGAGGTCAGCGGGATGGAGGTGGGGCCACCTCAGATCTGTACGGAGCAGCTCTTGATCAACAGAACTAAGGTAAATGGGCATAGAAGGTCTCTGCAACTCCCAGCCCTAGAGGCAGAGCAGCAGGAGGGGGCTGCGACAGGCTGTGCCAGCCGTGCAGAGGACTGGGGCGGCTGCAGGGTGCTGTGCGCTGTGGCTGGGAGGGGATACAGAGCAGAACCACCTTGGCCCCCATAAAACAACACGGCTAATCTGCCCTGGGGGGAAGGGTGCCACAGCTGCATCTCTGAAAACCCACGGGGGGGTTTTGGGCCAAGAGAGGCGGGGCTCAGGCACAGCCACCATACCTTACAGCGCTGAGCACCCAGGCGGGGGCGGGGCCGAAACCTGAATCCTACCTAAGGGCTCAGCAGCCTCAAAGGCCAAAGGAGACTTGTCTGCAGCCAGAGGCAGATAGGATCCTTCCGCCCTGGGACCTCACCACCACCAAGACAAACAAGGAGCTGAGTTTTGGCATGGAGCAGGGGTGCGGCTGTTCCGCCGTCTTCCCTGAGCCCGCCTACAATCGCGGACCCGGAGGAGTGGAGCGGGCAGCTGCACAGAGCAGCAGAGCGACCGGTGCCGCAAGAGGGCGGGGGGCCACCTGCCTTCCTGGCAGGAACGGAGCCCCTGACCGCGGTGCTGGAACGGGGCGCGCTCTGCTTGCCGACAGGCACTGGGAGCAGCACAGACGAGCGCCAACGGAGGGCTTCTGGAAACAGCAAGCTGAGTTCACGAAACAGGGCAAAGACGGAAAGACCTCTCGATAAAATCATTAAGAGCGCAGTCTCCCCGAGAACACATTCCCCTCACATTTTTTTCTAATCTGTTCTATTTTCTATTACCTTTTTTTACTTTTACTTTTTAAACAATTGTGTTTCCAATTCTAATCCCTTTAAATTTTTTCTTTAAAAATTTTTTTTATTATTTTTAAAAACCCACATTTCATTTTTATTTCTCTTGGTTTTGATCTCATTATTGATTATACACAGGTTTCAAATTTTTTGTTGTTCCTTTCTCCTTTTTTAAAGGTTTTTAAAAGACGTCTCAACCTGATTGCTATTCTGCTTCAACTTGCTTTTCTATTATTCATTATACACTGTTTTCCAACCTTTTCTTTCCTCCCTTCTTTTAAAATTCAGTTTTTATCTTTTTTTATCGTTCTATTTTCTATTACCTTTTTAATTTTTACTTTTTAAACAATTCTGTCTCCAGTTTTAATTGCTTTTAATTTTTTCTTTTAAAATATTTTTTATTATTTTTATTTTTAAAAATCTACCTCATTTCATTTTCATTTCTCTTGTTTTTGATCTGACTATATGCAGATGACATAATACTATATATAGAAAACCCTAAAGGGCCACACAAAAACTACTAGAGCTGATCGAAGAATTCAGCAAGGTACCAGGCTAGAAGATTAATGTTCAAAAATCAGTTGCATTTCTTTTCACTAAAGATGAATCAACAGAAAAAGAAAGTAAAGAAACATTCCCCTTTAAAATAGCACCCAAAGTAATAAAATACCTAGGAATAAATCTAACCAAGGAGGTGAAACACTTATACACAGAAAACTATAAACCATTGATGAAGGAAATTAAAGAAGACTTAAAAAAATGAAAAGATACCCCATGCTCCTGGATTGGAAGAATCAATATTGTTAAAATGGTCACACTGCACCAGGCAATCTACAGATTTAATGCAATCCCTATCAAATTACCTGACATATTTCACACAACTAAAACAAATCATAATAAAATTTACATGGAACCACAAAAGACCTAGAATTGCCAAAGCATTACTGAAGAAAAAGAAAGAGGCTAGAGGAATAACTCTCCCACACTTCAGACAATACTATACAGCTACAGTCATCAAGACAGCATGGTATTGGTACAAAAACAGACATACGGACCAATGGAACAGAATAGAGCGCCCAGAAATGAACCCACAAACTTTTGGTCAACTCATCTTTGACAAAGGAGGCAAGAATATACAATGGAATAAAGACAGCCTCTTCTGCAAGTGGTGTGGGAAAACTGGACAGCAGCATGTAAATCAGTGAAGCTAGAACACTCCCTTACACCATACACAAAAATCAACTCCAAATGGATCAAAGACAAGATAAGACAAGATACAGTAAACCTCCTAGAGGAAAATATAGGCAAAACATTATCTGACATCTCAAAAATCTTCTCCTAGGGCAGTCTACCCAAGCAGTAGAAATAAAAGCGAGAATAAACAAATGGGACCTAATTAAACTTACAAGCTTCTGCACAGCAAAGAAAACCATAAGTAAAACAAAACGACAACCTACGGAATGGAAGAAAATTTTTGCAAATGATGAAACCAAGGAAAGCTTGATCTCCAGAATATATAAGCAGCTCATGTGATATAATAAGAAAAAACAAACCCAGTCCAAAAATGGGCAGAAGACCTAAACAAGCAATTCTCCAAGGAAGACATACAAGTGATCAATGGGCACATGAAAAAAATGCTCAATATCACTAATTATTCAGAGAAATGCAAATGAAAACTATGATGAGGTATCACCTCACACCAGTCAGAATATGGCCATCATTCAAAAATCCACAAATGACAAATGCTGGAGAGGCTGTGGACAAAAGGGTACTCTCCTACACTGCTGGTGGGAATGCAGTTTGGTGCAGCCACTGTGGAAAACAATATGGAGATTCCTCAAAAGACTAGGAATAGACTTACCATACGACCCAGGAATCCCACTCCTGGGCTTGTATCCAGAAGGAAATCTACTTCAGGATGACACCTGCACCCCAATGTTCATAGGAGCACTATTTACAATAGCCAAGACATGGAAACAGCCTAAATGTCCATCAACAGGTGACCGGATAAAGAAGATGTGGTCTATTTTCACAATGGAATACTATTCAGCCATAAAAACTGACAACATAACACCATTTGCAGCAACATGATGTTCCTGGAGAATGTCATTCCAAGTGAAGTAAGCCAGAAAGAGAAAGAAAAATATCATATGAGATCGCTCATATGTGGAATGTTCAAAAAAAAAAGAACATAAATACAAAACAGAAACAGACTCATAGACATAGAATACAAACCTGTGGTTGCCAAGGGGGTGGGGGATGGGAAGGGACAGACTGGGATTTCAAAATTTGTAGATACTGACAGGTATATGCAGAATAGATAAAGAAGATTATACTGTATAGCACAGGGAAATATACACAAGATCTTGTGGTAGCCCACGGCGAAAAAGAATGAGAATATATGTAAATTCATGCGTAACTGAAAAATTGTGCTCTACACTGGAATTTGACACAAAATTGTAAAATGACTATAACTCAGTTTTAAAA